AAAGTATATTTATGTTAAAATAGAACAAAATTGGTGCCTATAATGGGATTCGCTATGGTTTAGGCTGCAACAATGTCCAAAAAGGTTGTAACAGTTATGGGAAGAGAGTGTTTGTGGGTAAAGATTTGTATGGGGGCTAAAAGCATTTTTAAAGGTTGAAGGGTTTGGATTTTTTAGAGTTTTCAGACTTACATGTATTTAAAACTTTGATCATCTGAGTCTGAGTCAGAGCTATCATCATCATCAAACTGCTTAATTATAAACAGTGATATTTCATTCTGTTCATCATCAAGGGAGAAGACTGATTCAAGGTCATCATATAAAAGATTAATACCAAAGATATTAGCAATATCTTGTATCATTTTTACTAATCTTTTATCTAACTTGGGGTAATTTTTTACAAAATGTCTTGATTTTCAACAAAAAAAATTTATTTTCTTTCAACTTCGAGTTTTTTTTCTTTCTACCAAACTTGAAATTTTGAATCTGCTGGGCTTTTCTAACTGTCTAAATAGTTTTCATGTCTGAAGAAGTAAAATTTTCTAGAAAGTCTAAATCTTCTGATGTGCTTTTTTTTTTGTGCAAAGACATGTGAAGTCCTTGAAAGAACATTTGATCTAGAGTCTAGAAGAAGAGTAAAAACATGGTCTTTCTAACTTTTTAAATTTGTTCACTAAGTTTGTAATGTGTTTGTGCTCTTTGCAAATCTTATCAAGAGTTTTTAGCATTATTTTATAGATATCACAAAGATTCATAGTTTTGACATCAAGGGATCTAAGGTTGAGTTATGTCTTTGTCTGCTAGGCAAGTTCTTCTGGAACAAAGTTTAGAAAAGCTTGCTTTAAGTTGACATCATCGAATTCACCAAGTAAAATATTAAAAAAATTATTGATAATGTCTATTAAGATTTTTTGGATGAAAGGAACAACACTTAAGCTTAAAGAATTATTCTCTAATCTTTTTCAATTTGTGAGTGTCTTGGTTATAAAATAGTACTAAAAATTGAGATATAGCTTTTGTAATTGTTGGGTATTGAAGAAACTGTAGTTGTCTATATTCATCAATATTATCTCAAAATTTTTGAGGGTTTCAACTAGTCTTGAGACAAATCTAATTAAGATTGTATTCATTGTAACATTAGGATTAGAGTTTAATTCAACTAATCCCTATGCTAGGAATTCTTGGAATCTTGAAAGCCATTTTGAAGGAGGAATATCATCAATTGTAAAGATTAAGAACTTTGATGTAGAAAAAGGAACATGTATCTATGTCAGAGGAGGTTGTTGTTCAATGTTCATTGCATCATGGTTATGCACTTCTGGATTATCTTTTAAAACTTCAACTATTGGTTTTGTCATGAAAATATAAGAAAATGTATCCTTTGAATCATCTGTCTCAATATTTTTCATTTGAGATTATACTTTAAAAGTAGAAAGAAAGATATCTTCAATGGAAAATTAAGGGATGTTTTCTTATGCCATGTGTAGTATCAGTTCTGAAAGGGTGTTTTATGTAATAAAAATCATGAATTGTGTTGGTTTTTATTTTGGTTGAGCTGTAAAGTTTGAAGGTGTACAACTTGAGCTTGATTTTAGTTTTGGAGGTTTAAGAAACAATTGTTCTGTAATTCTCTTTAAGTTTTGGATCAACTGGTTATTTTTCTCTAAATCTTTGAATCTATTTTTTAGTTATACAAAAGGAAGGTTGTTCTGGTTGGTTTGATATCTAAGTGAAGTATTGTCTTCATTGTGAAGATATTGGTGTAGATGTAGGAAGTGGTTTGTATTGAAATGGTGTGAAAAAAAGTTTTAGGGGTGAGGTTGGAAGAGGGTTATATAATTGGTAAGAAGGAAATGTGTAAGCTTGGTAAGAGGTGTCATGTATTTCAATGTTGATAGGAGTGAAGATACTATAACTAGAAGTTGTCTATTGTTGTTGTTGTTGTTTCTGACCAAATTGATATTTGCAAGTTGAATCTTAAGGCTTTCTATTTCTTTCTCTCTTTTAGTAAGAATATAAGTGAATCCAGTGTTAGTTTTAGCTATGTATCTAAATTTTTGATCTAGAGTTATTATCCTTAATTGTATTTTAAGAATAATATTTTGAAGATTGACAAGGCTTTAGTCAAAATGATGACTAACTTGGTATAACTTATTTTCAATTTTATGTAAATATGCATTTTGCTGGAGTGAATTTTCAGTTTAGCAGTTCAAAACTAATTCTGCATGAGAAACACTTTTCAAGTTTTCATATTCATCTTTGTCAGTAGTGTTTGAGATTTTTGAAATGTGTTTATATTAGTCTTTGTAGAATTCTTGAAAAAAAAAAATTTGAGTCATAAGACTATCCTGAGTAACTGGTTGTATCATGCACACCTGAGTTAAGGGTTGGTTTGAATTTGGTTTTTGTGAAGCTTGCAGTTTATAGGATTTGGGAAATGAATATGATTTTTTATCTTTTGTAGGATAAATGATATAATAGTCAAACTTTTTTGAGGGCTCACCAAGGAGATCAACTTCAGGTTCTTTTCTTTCATATTTTTTCTTTTAGTTGTTGTTAGGAAGATATTTTTTTTTACTTCTTTGGAGGATCATTATCATTATCAAGGAAGCTTCTGTATGTGTCTTTTTGACATCTTTTACATTTGTAATTAATGTTCCAATAGCAATGTCTTTATAGAGATCTATATGTATATACAGGTTTTTCATTAGATTTAAACTGTGTGATTGGAACATTTGATTCAGCTTGACATTTTTGCATCATAAACTATGTTAGAAAGATAGTTGGAGGAGGAACATCTTTTCCTTTACTGTGATCAAACTCAATTATTATAGTGCCATCTTAGTTATCTTATAGGTAAGATCAGTTGAAAGGGTTTATCTTTGTTCCAAATCTTTTGGTAACTCATTGTCCATGACTTAGGAGGTAGTGTGGCAAGTTCTTCATTAGAGATCTACTTCAAAATGTAAACATGTCTAGGATTTTTGTCTACTGCTTCCATCTTTACAAATACAGCATCACCAGAATGATGAAGAGGCAAGTTTATGGCATGATCTTGAATTTTGTAGACCATCTAGTAGTGAATAGTTACCTGAAATCCTTTCACCTCAATGCCTACAATCTACATTTAAACTTTTAGAGCATCTAGCAGTGTCAGATCATAGAGAGACATATTGTAATTTAGGAAGACTATGAAAAAGACAATTCATGCATTAAGTATTGTCTCAATTATGCCAAGTAATGCATGTTTGTAGTCTTTGAATTTGGTATCCAATAAGGTCATCCCGGTACACAGGAATACCATTTCTGCCATAAAAAGTTAAAGCTATTCTGATAGCACCAAAGTGAATGTGAGTGTATCCCTGCTCTAACCACTATTGTGAAAATTCTTCTGGAATCTGAAGAGCAACAAAATGCTCTTGGGTTCTTGTTAGAAGAATGTATTGATCAAAGTTTATGACTTGGACATACTCTTTTAAAGCTTAAAATTTTGGTTTTAAAAAGGTTTTTACGGATCTGGTAAGAGAAGGGAAGGAAGTTGAAAAAGCAACATAAGGGTTTATAAGAGGAAGAATTGTTTGTTGGGATTTTTTCTCTTCTGGAATATAATCTACTTCATAAAGAAATTTTAACTCAGAAGAATAAGATTTTTTAAGTATAGAAGAAAAGGGGAAAAGATAAACTAAAAGAAGATCTAGAAATGGAAGGCTAAAAACCACTAATATGTGATAAATCCATGAGAATGAAGACTCTTTTAGCTTTACCTATCCAACTTAGTAACTAAAAATAGAATAGAAAGAATTCTCTATATGGAGTTGTGCTTTGGCACTATGTAACTTGCACGGGGATCAGTTGCTTTAATAAGATAATATCAAATATAAACAGTCCATATTTTAAACATATAATCAAGGTATTCTAGCCAGTGTTCAAGACTAAGCGTTCTCTTGACATGACATCGAATTGGTGGCTTGACTTTTATAGAAACATGTCTTTCAGTATGGTAGCTTATTTCAATAAAATCTTGGTACAATAACTTTTTTTTGGCTGAAGGAGTAGATCAATAATGTGTTTGATAATTTTTAAAGACTTTATGATGCATAACATTTAATGCTGTAAATAAACAAAAACTGACAGTGGCAACAACATTTGTATGTAAAAGGGGAATTGCAAAGATCCACAGTCCACTGCAGAGGGGGGGGGGTCCCTTAGCCAGCCAGCAAAGCCGTGTGGACCAAAATCGCACTGATAATTCAGGTACTTGCTTTTCTTTATTAAGAGTGATGAAGAGTACCTGAAGCTGGACTATGAAAATCTAAACAACTAGTTGCAAATGCTTCTCATATAATTTTGTTCATCACTTAATGCATGTAATTGACTCCCCCAGGTAGGCCATACATGCCTTAATCCCTTTTCCTCATCAAGTGAAGACATAAAAGTGCGAAAAGTATTCTTTCCATTTTTTTAATATGATCAGGATTATTTCAAAATTTACTTCGATCTGATTTTTTTAAATAATTTTAAATTGGTATTCTCTCGTATCAATTTGACAGATTAACTCTTGTGAGTGAAGTAACGATAGTATGCATAAATAACATAAGTTTAAACATAGATGCTTAATATTTGGAACTGTTTTTTTGGTACTATTTACTCTGTAGCATTTTCCTTTCAATTTATTGTCCTCATTATGTTTATTATATGACCGGGACTTTCCACTCAAAATTTGTTTCTGATATTTTCGACCTTTCTGTTTGATTTAGAGTTGGTATATTCTCATAGAATGGGACATGTTTTGCCATGTTATGAATTGTGTTTGCCTAAAATGAAGATGACAATGAATCAATGTCAAGCCTGAAACACAATTAGTCATAACTTAAATGCTAAAACTGATGTATATTACAACAAGCTAGTGGCACTGACACATGACCCTCAAATTCTGTGGAGCTGGACAAAGCAAATCTCAATTCTAAAGCAATTAAAGCCGTGGCCCCAACAACAAACTCTTCAGCAAAGAATCAAAGGTAGATCCTCTCGTTACTAAGTTAGACTGTCCTTTTGCTTGAACCATGACAAATGACACCACATTATCTAGCTATAGGCAGATATAGCTAGATACCAGATAAGAGGAGTTTAACTTGGTTGAAAGTTTGTATTTGTAAGGGATTGCGGACTATGAATTTTGAGCCGTCCCTTGTTGCCTTTGAGAGACGTAAAAGGATAGGGGAAGGTGGGGCTCACCAATTACAGCCAAGCATGCTAGAGGAGATTTGGGTCTATCTTGGATTAGATATCTTAGTTGTGGGTGTCGGTTATTGCTTGCTGCTGTTGCTCATCCCTTCTTCCTGCTGGATAACGTCATAACACAACTTCATGATTCTTGTGGGGTTGTGTGACTTAGCCAGATTGGCTGACTGCCATTAATACCCCACCATCCCACATGCACTTTCCCTAGCTATATGCCTTTAACTCACCCATCTCTTTTACTTTTCTCTATTTATAACCATCTCCATGGCACTGGATAGAAGGAGAAGGAAGAGAGGTTTCAATATTTAGAAACCAAAGATTTCCTTTCTTGGTTTATTGCAACAAAAAAAAAAAAAAAACACTCAAAAACTCTCTTCCCAAGTTCTAGTTAAACTAGTTTGAGAAGACATGGAAGTGGCAGTAGAGTTAGAAGATGATCTGTTTTTTGCAGACTTAAGCAAGCAAATCTCTCTGCTAATCATGGATGATGATGATGAGGACCCAGTTGCTAGATGTCCTTCAGTTTCTTTCCAGGTTTTTAGTCATCTATATGCTTTTCATTCACGAAAAACATGTTATCTCTTGCATTTTCTGGTATTAACAACTCACTGGTTCATGGATATATAAAAACTGTATTGGACTAATTTGTGTTATCAAAAGTTTCAGACATTCTCTGGAGCAAATTATCCAATAGGACAATCTCCATACCCTCAGGAGCAAATCTGCAGAAGAGAAAGCAGCAAAGGCACAGGAGTTTTTATCCCGAGATCATCACAGCCAAGAAGGAAGCATAGGCAAGGAAGATACAGTTCATTCAGCACAAAGTCTAACAGGCAGCATGATAGCAGTACAAAAATGGTTTCTCAAGCATCTTACAATAATTCCTTTTACCCAAGGAAAGGCTAAGGATAATACACATCCTTATCAAGTGTAGAATTTTATAATTTTATAATTATATATATATCATGGATGATAATATGTACATTAAAAATAATTGAAGAGGTTCACAAAAGGGTCTGCCTCCCTAAATCATGGAAAAGTATGGTGATTGTTAAATAATAAGTGTGATATAGGAAAAACATGTACTTGTTCACAGTGTAATTGAATTTATATATTAATTTATTAATATTAGGCTTTTTTTTATTTTCTTTTCTACTTGTAATTTTATTTGGCTAAGGCAATATTGCATATCCAATTATGCAACCATGGACAAAGACAAGTATATTCTTAAGGCATAAACTTGATTCATATCAGCATGTTCAAAATTCCATAAAAAAAGTACTAAATTTGATTAGCATATTAAAGATTTATATACAACCTTAAGTTATCAGCAATGACCAGTTTCAACTTCAATAACAGCTTTGATCAAACAAAATATGCTCTTTAAATATTATGGGACTGGTTACAGTCATATCAGCAAAGCTGTACGATTGATGAAATGAGCTTTAAATTTTCTTTTAATTATGATATCCTTAATCATTTTGCTCTTTTAGCTTTTTTGACGGCTATGTTGATCCTACTTTGCAAACCATTTTATTTTTAATAAAAGAGATAGGAGTTTAAAAATAAAAAAATTATAAATGTTAAGATATAAATTTTAAATTTATAAAATATTATTTTTTAAATAATTATATAAATTATCTAAATTAAACTTAAGATTCAATCGACTAACTAATTTTGTAATATCTATAGTCATTGTATCTCATTAAAATATCAAGAGAATTTTTCAAAAGTTTTTGATTTGTGATTAAATATATGTAACACTTTATTTATTTATTTATTTTAGATAGGATGAGCATAATTTATGAATTAAGAAATAAAAATCTTAATTCAAAGTCAAAACTTTTATATTTTTTAAGAGTTCATGAACCACTGAACAAAAAATTGATGACACTTTCTCTTATTAGGTTGCCTTTAACTTTCAATCATCCTTCAAGTCCTTTTCTAACAATCATGTTTTCCATATTCATTGCGACAATGCCAATACTTTCATTTCCAATTTTCATGTTGCATTCACTTTCCTGTTCCCACACTGGCAAAACTCCACATGCCACATGATCTTTCATTTCTTTGACAGGGAGTGTATACATTTATACGAATTACGAAGAAAGTATTACTTAAAACCAGGAAAATATCATTAGATGGCAAATCTCTTTCTCCCAAATAATCATGAAAAGTCATGCCCTTCAAAATCAAGGGGTCCCTCATGTCACGTACCATGAAAAGAAAGATCATGAGACGGCTAATTGCTTTGATTTTCTTTAAATAAAAGGGAGGTCCTTTATGTTTTGAAATCTAGTAATCCCCTTGACAACTTGTACAATTCTATATGAATTATTGAGGGAAACAATGGATATTATTGTGTGGGCGCCCACAGATTAGTTCACCATATCTGAAACACCCAATTGGGATAAGTGCTTTGCTTAAAAATGATGAAAAGACCAATGCACATGCAGCCCAGCTCAGTTTGAAAAAAGTTGAAAATGATGAAGCATTTGAACCGTGTCTCGAAGATAAAGCTCACACTATTGCAGCTAGCTGTAACTTTCAAGACTTCCACGTCTAATCATCTTAAAACGAATGACATGAAACCACTATCTAAAATTCTTTCAAACGAGCATTGATGCCTTGGGGTACTCTTTAGTCATGACATGAGATTTTTTTACGTGGGGCTCGGACCAATGAGGAATTTCAAGTCTCTGGTGAGCATTAAGACATCAATTTTGTTAATTTGGTGAAACAATTTAAAAAAATAATAAATCTGAGTACAAACTATAAAGTTAGTCATGATTGAAAGATCCAAAAGAAAAATGACAAATGAATAGATTTGGAATCTGAAAATGGAGAAAAGGATGAAAATTTTATTATATTGATTTGTATTTTATAATGAGGTTTAAAGTTTACTATATGGAGTTAAATTGTTATAAAATAAAAAATATAATAAATAAAAATAATAATTAAATTAAATTTTATAATCACTTAATCAATATCTAAATTAATATCAAATCAATATTTAATATTATCAGAATAATATCATCAAACTAGAATATTATCAAATTATTATTAGAATATCATTGATACTCGCCCGCAAACTTAAGATGGTAATGTAGAGGCCAACTTGAGTTTGAAAACTTGAACAAAAAATTGACCAAGTAAATGTGATTTAGTGAAGACATTTACTTTTTTATCAGCACTAGTAACAGGAACAAGTCAAAAACTTTGAGCAAGCAGATGTTGACAAATGAAGTAACAATCAATTTCAATATGTTTAGTACGCTCATGAAAAATATCATTATGAGCTATCTGAATGGCATTTTGATTGTCACAAAATATAGGAATACTAGAGTGATGAGAAATATTGATATCTTAAAGTAGCCATTGTAACCGTAAAAGTTTTGATGTGGCATCTGTAAAAGCTCGATCTCAGCTTCAGTGCTAGAATAGGACACCACAATTCATTTTTTACTTCATTAAGAAATAAGAGAAAAACCAATAAAGAAATAGTAGCCTATGGTAGAACGACGATCAGTATGATCTTTTACCCAATTAGCTTCACAATAACAACACAAGTCCAAAAAGGAACTAAAGAAAAAGTGCAAACCATGAAACATAGTACCCTTGACATATTGTAGGATTCGAAAGACAATAGCAAAATAAGTAGATAGAGGAGTAGACAAAAACTAACCAGATGAATAGCATAGGTAATACATGGATGAGTAATTGTCATGTATATGAGACTACCCACCAAAGTTCGATACAAAGAAGGGTCTGAAGTGGTGTACCATCAGAAGGAGAAAGCTTCAAATTATGTTCAAGTGGTGATGATGCAATCTTGCTATCAGTTAAACTTGCTCGAGCAATAAGATCAAAAGCATACTTTGTACCAGTGAATCATTAATGACTTCAAGGCCCAAAAAATAACTCAAAGGACCTAGGGCTTTCATCTCAAACTTGAATACCATTTATATCATTACCTGTAATGATCATGTTATCCACATAAAGTAAAAGAAGAGTAATACATTTTTTAGTAGTTTGAGTAAAAAAGGCAAAATCATGATTACTAGACGTAAAATCAAGTTGTGCAACAGTGGTACTTAACTTCTAAAACCAAGCTTTAGGGGTTTGCTTAAAAACATATAAAGCACGTCGAAGATGACAGACCATGTTGAAAGGTACAGATGAGCCAGAAAATGGTTTCATATAGACTTTATCAATGAAATCATCATTTAAGAAAGCGTTTTTAATATCTATTTGAAAAGTTGATCACTTTTTAGCACAACAACAGCTAATAGTGAACAAACAGATGAGAGACATGCAATTGAGGCAAAAATCTTTTCATAGTCAATGCCATATTCTTGTATAAATCCTCGAGTAACAATATGAGTTTTGTAACATTTTATTGATCCATTAGATCTAGTCTTAATTTTGTAGACCCACTTACAATCAATCACTGACTTATTGGAAGATCATTTAATAATATCTCAAGTATGAGTTTTCTCAAGAGCCTGAAGCTCATCTGTCATTGCTATTGCCATGTAAGATTAGAGATAGTTTCACGAAAATTGTGAAGTTCATGTAACGTGGTTAAAGCATAATAATAGTAAAAATCACAAAGTTGAGTGTTGAGTTCCCTTACTCGAGTGGAATGACAAAGTGGAGGCAGTATGTATAGAGAAGAGACAACTATATTAATAGAAGCCTTAATTAGATCAAACATAATAGGAGTGGAAGAAGATTGATTATTATTTGAGTCAGAGTACCTACAATAGTCTTTTCATTTGAAAAATCAAAATATGAATATGTAAAAATACATGGAGAAGAACATGGTGAATGTAATAAGGACACACTAGTGAGCTTTTTATGTTCCAAAAAAACTACATGTCTTGAGATATGAAGATGTTTAGACATTGGATCATAACACCTATACCATTTGTGTTCTATACCATAACTCAAAAAATAACACAATCTAGCTCTAGGTTCAAGTTTAGTCCTTTTATGAGTAGGAAATAAAATAAAGCAAGCACATCCAAAAACTTTGAGAAAATGATAATTATATACTTTATTGTATAGACACTTATAGGGACACTGTGTGCCTAATACTAGTGTAGGAACACAATTAATAGTGTAAACAGCAGTGAAAGCAGCTTCACTCCAAAAATGTTCAAAAAGAGAAGAAAAAATGAGAAAGGCATAAACTGTATCAAGAATATGACAATATTTTATTTTTGCTTGACCATTTTTTGTGAAGTATATGGGCAAGACCTATGAGAAAGAGTCCCCATCATCCTTTAACAAGTTACGACACTCAATTTCTATATATTTAGTAGCATTGTTAGACCTAAAAATTTTTATTTTTCTAAAAAATTGAGTTTGTATCATATTATTAAATTCACGAAATATGGATAAAAGTTAATTATTTGTTTGAATAAATATATCCAAGTATAACAAGAGAAATCATCAATAAATATAACAAAGTAACGTGAACTTCCTAAGGTTGGTGTGGGAGTTGGACCCCAAATATCACAATGGACTAAATCAAAAGGAATAGATGAGATATAATCACTTTTATTAAAAGGTAAAGCACTTTACTTTCCAAGTTGACAAGACAAACAATAAAAAATATCATGAGAAATATTACCTAAGACATTAGTGGAAACAAGTGACTTTATTCGAGAAATAGATGTATGTCATAGCCTAGAATGCCATGAATCTAAAGAAACTAAATAGTTGGTTGTTTGAGATGCAGCAACAATAAGGAAATGTTGTGAAATTTTCAAAGTTTCAAGCTCAAACAGTGTTTCAACCTAACACCTTGTCCCAACTTTTTGACTTGTTTGAGGATCGTGCACAATACAACCATATTGTTGTGAAAAATACAAATCAAGATCAAGATCACAAAGTTGACCAATAGAAAGCAAATTTAAGGCAAGATTAAGAACAAGATAAGTGTCAGATATACATAATTTTGAGGTTTCAATATTACCAATGTGGCTAGCTTTTAAGACAGATCCATTTGTTATTTTAAGGATTAGACCATTAAGTATATATATCTTGCCTTTAAATAAGAAATGGTCAGTAGTGATATGATTTTCGCATGCAGTATCAAACAACCAAACATTATCTGATGTGGTAGCAGACATGACAGGAACAAGAGATCGAGATAATACTTAATTGAATAAAGTTTAAAAATC